TTGACGTTAGGCATACGGTAAGGAAGTCCACAATGGAGTCCGGGGTAACTGGCGGGCCACTAGCGGAAAATTCGTTTCGATTGACGAACTTTTCTCAGGTAACGAGTTGTCAATGCGTGTGCGCATGTGTCCGCCGTTCAGTCCTGCTTCCAGGGCGTGGGTCCTCAGTCGCCTGCAACCAATCAGCGAACTAATGCAGGTTGACTGGCTACTTTTCGCAAGACGACCGTTTCAAATGACGAGCGCGGTACCGGAACGGATTAAACTCGTTAACTAAGGTTTCACTGTACTTGACTTTGGCCCGGGAGGAAAGTGGACACACTTACTGTTCACTCTTCCCGCCCACACCATCATCAAAGTTCGAAACCTACTCGTAGACAGAGTAGTCGGCAGTTTTTGGTAAGACCGCTAGGAATGCCTCCATTCCCATGATGAATAATCGCACAGGAAGGCACACGCTGCCTGCCATGACAGCGTGCAGCTGGACCGTTGCCACAGATTCCTCGTCAGACCGGATTGGTTAATGTTTGTGATAATCCGTTCGGCTCTTTCTCTTCACGCGTATGCAATAAATACGGGCAGCCCTTTTGTGAGAATGACTGTTGCTGTTTGAGAATACACTTTGTTTGTGACCGATTTTCGACTCTTCTCCCGCGCTGACCTTGGGCACAACAGTCGGGCAAGCCTGCAGCTCGTGTTATTTACAAGTAGCAGGCGCGCGTCATAACGAAGACAAATCAGGGTATTGGCAACAAAAAGAGCCAACTGGAACTTACAATTATTTGGGTATTCGCTCCAGTGTATTGAACATTATTAGCCAATTGCGTCCGGAAATAAAGCTATCATGCTCAGGGGTAATAGGAAGCTAAGGTGACTGTGACAAAGAGGATAGCGGTGGATATGAAAATATTCGGACCTGGAGTGCTGAAAAGTAGCAGACGATACGTTTTTGTCTACAGACTGGAGAGTTTGGTGTAAATAACGGGGGCCAAGTGAATGTCTCAGGCATTATCGGCTTATCTGCTCTTTTTAGTATCGGCCCGAAATAAGACGAGGGTGTAGAGCAGCGGTTGGCAGAGCACCGGTGGATTTGGGTTAGCATGCAACAAATGCTTTCTACGCATTAAGTGTGGCCGAGGACAATTCAACATGATAAAGAGCATATATATCTCAGCTCTCTAGTGTGGATGTCTATTCTCATAAGCAAATCGTAATATCAATTTCAACCATTTCGACCGTTCACAATACGTATCATGCATTCGGGTAATGACAAAAATTTCCGCATTAATCGTTCTTTTGACAATAACATCCCGGAGATCCTCTTCAAATTCATATTTAGCTGTACGATACTAGTTCAAAACTGTACGTCAGTAGTGTAGTCCTGGGACGCCAGGCGCTAGCCTTTGCACAGTAAAAGCGTCTTGAAGATGGATGGCGAATAAAATTGAGGATCTTGACCGACTCCACAAGCCTTGGATCTGAAAACCGATTAAGAACTCAAACAGCCTGAGGACTTTCAAGTGTTTGAAGTACAAGCGTACATAAACCCAGAAGCAAAGTCGGATGCCCGAAAAGAAACAAAGAGCAGGATGGCAACATCTACGCAACAGAGCATCTTTGAGATATCACGATAATTTTGGGAGCGCAGTGGTTTAACATATTCGGGTTTGTTAATAGAATGAAAACACAAAAAGGGTCGCAGCCTATCTCTGTCTTAGCTAATAGCAATGTGGTAGAAATCGCAAAAAAACGGACTACTTCCCCTCTCCAGCCCTAAAACAGCAAGATAACTGTGGCAGAAGATCTGACGAAGGCATGCACACTTTACCTTCGTATCACTTCCGGGGATGACAAGCTCAATGTCCACGTCGTAGGACTGCCGAGTGTTGGCCTTCATTCGCACCGTGCCCGTGAGTATCTGACCCTCCTGCACGAAGAGCGTTGTGCCGAGAAGACAGCGTACCTAAAAGTAAGCATAGGTGGAGGGCTTTTTTAGTATTTGAAGACCACACAGTCTGCACCCTGTGGACGGGAGTAGTCAATGCAGCAACTACACGGTTGCACACTCACCAAAAAAAGAACCCTGCGTGTGATAACACGCACGGGGCGGGCGTGAGCTGGAAAACATACATTTAAATATTATCTATCTGATGAACACGGTACGCTGGTTGAAACGGGTGGAAAGGGTAGAAGGAAGACTACTGGTGATGTTGAGGATGGTGGGGCCAAGGACTTGCAAAATTATCCAAAAGCGGTGGGCACGCGAGTGGGGGTGGTCTAGGCAAGCGAAGCAAGAGAATGCTGTACGAGAGAAGAATGTGATGAGGGATCGTGGTGCAAATGGTGTTTTTTTTTTCAAGCCAAACAAGGCACTTGAGACTACACAATCGTCCGTCTTTAACGGATCGGCACTTGTGGGCCC